TGCTCAGCCCCAACCTCTGCCTGCTGCGGCCGCTATTTCTGCTCCATCTCCTTCAGATCGGCCATCTCCTGCTCGGTCTACTTCAGAGCCTAACAACGCATCCATCCCCGTCGATCTGACGGACGACTAGCTTAGGATTTTTTGTATTTTTGTGTTAATCAATGAATTTATTTACCAAATGTACTACACATGTAAAATTTCATTGATGAAATACAAATTTGAATCTTTTGTTTCAAGATTTCTGTGTTGAATGTTTAGTAAGTCACTGTTTACAAACGATCAGTAACGATCTGAACACTAATAAGATACACGTTAACTGTAAAACTTCCTAAGATTATGTATGTTCCAAATAAATGGTAATGGGTGACCTTGAAAATCTGCCAACTGGTAAGACCCAGGTCGCTGGATGGAAACAACCATATAAGGCCCCTCCCAATTAGGAGCGAGCTTGCCCATGTGTGAATGGACATTAGTTAGTCCAGCTTTACGTAGAACCAGATCACCGACCTGAAACTGTCGAGCTCGAACTCTTTTGTTATAGAATTTTGCAACACGACTTTGATGTGCCATGTTTCTAATTCGAGCCATTTCCCTGATTTCCTCCACTAGGTCTAGGTTTTCCCTTAAGAGTTGCCCATTATTCTGATCGTTACGACGATCTGATCTAGCAGATGGTAACCCGATTTCAACAGGGATGACGGCCTCAGCTCCATATGCTAGGCTGAACGGTGTTTCGCCCGTGGCCAAGCTGGGTGTGGTACGACATGACCATAGTACTTTATTGAGCTCGTCAACCCAACTAGTATGTGCAGCCAAGACACGCGTCTTGAGGCCCCGTAGGACGATTTTATTAGCGGACTCAGCTTGTCCATTTGACTGTGGAGTATAAACAGATGTCAGGGCGAGCTCAATGCCATAGTCGTTACAGAACGACCTCAGAGCTGTGGCTCGGAACTGTGGGCCATTGTCAGCGATGATCCGTTTGGGTATGCCGAACTTGCATAATATTGAGTTGAACAGGAATTCTTCTATTTTCTTTTTTGTTGTCGTGGACAATGGTTTAGCTTCTATCCATTTAGTGAAGTAATCCACTGCAACGACCAGGAAAGTGCAGCCTCCTTTGCCTTTGATGAAAGGGCCGAGCAGGTCGACACCCCATTGAGCAAAGGGCCAGGGAGACGTAAGAGAGGATAGCATTTCCCCTGGTATGTGTATATCATCAGCGTTGAACTGGCAGGTCAGACATTTCTTGACATAGTTCTGCGCGTCCTCAACCATAGTGGGCCAGTAATAACCATGCCTCAGGAGTTTCCGAGCTAAAGTTTTGCCACCGATGTGCGTGCCACATACTCCTTCATGAACTTCCCGTACAGCGTATTCAGCTTCATAAGGAGTAAGGTAGCATAATAGGGGCATTGAGGCTGCCCGCTTGTAGAGCTGATTATCTATCAAAGTGAAATGTGCCGCCCTGCGTCTGACCAGCTTTGCGACGGACTGGTTTTCAGGCAGTTCGCCACTTTGTAGATAATTTATGAGCGGGGTGGTCCAGCTCGGTGTAGAGGGATCTGTGCTTAGCAGTTGACACTCGACGGTGAAATCAGTGTAGCTCGGTGCGTCGAGTACCTCGACAATTGTTGATCTCTGAGGGATAATGTCCTGCGATGAGGCCAACTTTGACAGCTCGTCAGCTCAGTGGTTATCTGCTCTTGGTATTTTATCAATTTGGAAAAGGACAAATATTGACTTTAGTCTGTTGACCACAGAGGCATAACAACTGAGATGGGGATCCCTGATTTCACAACTGCCATTCACCTAGCCCACAACGAGCTGGGAGTCGCTGTAAACCTGAATGCTTCTTACTTTCAGCTCGGATACTAGCTTCAGTCCGTAAATGAGGGCTTCATATTCTGCAGCGTTATTAGTCGTCTGAAACTTAAACCTCAGTGCGTGCTCGGATTTAAAGCCATCAGGGCCCAATAACACAGCTCCCGCACCCGATCCTTTGACATTAGCAGCTCCATCTACATACAAAACCCAAACTGGGTGTTCAGGTGTCTTTTCTTTCACAGTCGCCGGGGCACATTCGACCAAGAAGTCTGCCACAGCTTGGCCTTTAATAGTCATGCGCGGTTGAAATTTGAGGTTATACTCACTCAGCTCGACACTCCATCCAATGAGCCGCCCCAAGAGTTCTGGCTTCTGCAATATTTTCCTCAACGGGAAATCAGTATAAACAACAATCTGATGAGACTGAAAATAAGCTCTCAGCTTACGAGCTGTGCAGACCAAAGCAAAAGCAGCCTTCTCTGCTAACGGGTAATTCTGCTCGGCACCTTGCAACACCTTGCTCACGTAGCAAATAGGCTTCTGAATTTTATTCTCTTCCCTCAGTAGCACTGAACTCACCGCTTCCTCTGTGACCCCCAGATAAAGATATAAGCATTCCCCATCGACAGGTTTAAACAGTAAGGGTGCTGATGCCAGATACTGTTTGAGCTCGTCAAACGCCCGTTGACATTCATCAGTCCATTGGAAGCTTTTAGGCTCTCGCAGAGCTTTAAAGAACGGGAGGCACCTTTCACCCGACCTGGCTATAAACCTGTGCAACGCAGCTATACGACCTGTCAGACGCTGTACATCCTTTACAGTCTTGGGAGGCTCCATCTGCTGAACGGCCTGGACATTCTCTAGATTCACTTCAATCCCTTTCTTGGATACCACGTATCCTAGGAATTTCCCTGATTCCACAGCAAACGTGCATTTCATAGGATTTAGCTTCATTTGGGCTCGGCGCAGGTTTCGAAAAGTTTCGTCCAGGTCGTCTATGTGATCCTCAGCTCGCACACTGGTGACTATCATGTCATCCACGTATACCTCTATGTTTTTGCCGATCTGAAGTTTAAAGATGATTTGCACCAGCTTTTGGTATGTTGCTCCAGCATTTTTGAGACCAAACGGCATCATAACATAGCAGTAGATGGTGTCACCAGCATAAAAAGCTGTCTTCTCCTGGTCGTCCAATAGCAACTGGACCTGGTGGTAACCCGAGCTGGCGTCAAGAAAACTCATCCGTTCATGTCCTGCTGCCCGTTCTACTAACTTCTCGACGTTTGGCAAGGGATGAGGGTCTTTTGGACACGCATCATTGAGATTGGTGAAATCAATACACATCCTCCACTTGCCATTTGGCTTCTTGACGAGCACAGGGTTGGACACCCATTCAGAGTACTCCACTTTTCTGATGAAGCCTGCCTGTAACAACTTTTGTATCTCCTCGTCAATGGCAGCTTGCTTCTCAGAGCCAAAAAGGCGGCGTTTTTGCACCACCGGCCTTATTTATGGGGTCTGTGCTGAGTTTGTGGATTGTCAACTCCGCTGGGATGCCAGGCATTTCCTCTGTAGCCCACGCAAACACGTCCTGATTAGCCCTTAAAAACTTCAGAAGCTCTGCCCGTTCTGCCTCTGTGAGCTTGGTGCCGATCTTAACCGTCCTTTCCAGCACGTCAGGGTCTAAAGGGACTGTTTCCACTGGCTCCACTGGTTCTGCCTTTTGTTCGACGCCCTCAGGCCTATGCTCGATGTCTGATATGCTCATTGTCTGCTGACCGAGCTGAGTTGGCCTGCCATTCTCAGAACCTGCCGGTGTTGCAGCGAGCTCAACCTTTCTGAACGTATCCTGATAATAGGCTCTGGCCATTTTCTGGTTCCCTTTAAGT